AAAATTACAGAACAAGAAACAATGATCTCAAGTTGTACCAAGGGAAGTTTAGGTTAGACATTAGGAAAACTTTCTTACTAGGAGGGTAGTACAGCATGGGAACAGGTTACCCAGAGAGGCTGTGGAGTCTCTGTCCTTGGCGATTTTTAAGACTTGGCTAGATAAATCCTTGGCTGGGATGATCTAGTTGGGGATGAGCCTGCTTTGCGCAGGGGATGAACTAGATAACCTCCTGAGGTCTCTTCCAACCTTAATTTTGTATAATTCTATATAATGGCTATCTTCTGTAATATAACTTAATATCCTTTGCCCTGTTGACCACTGTGCATTGCAAAGGAGTTAATTGAGCTGTCCATAATGATGGTTAGGCCATTTACCTAAGTAATTATATCAGTGTGTGTGAATGACTTAAATTCTTCATTCCAAAATACATTACCTTAAAGTTGTCCATAATGAATTTCATTTTTCATCAGGTTGTTCAATTGGCTATGTTAATTAGGTCCTATGGAAGTTCCTCATTGTCATTTTTAATCTTGACTAACCTAAATAATTTTGTGTCAGCTACATATTTTCCACTTCACTGTTCATCTATTTTCACTTCAGTATTAAATACATGAAATAGCACAGAACTTAAATGTAGAATATTTATATATCAGTATCTATGCCTTTGCTGTTTCTTCTTACCTTCCCATGACCCTGTCCTTTTCTTGTCCAATCAAGCAGTTTTATGCTGTTTAATGCTTTTGTGTCTGTTATCTCAATGGTTCCCTCCCTATCCATTCCTGGTTAGGAGTTGAGTCATGGATACTGATAGATTGTACATTTACATTAGAAAACATAGGCTTACTCTTTCAATACAGAAAACATTTTTTTTCACCATCAACAAACTGTTTCAAAGAAATAATGAGGACTTTTACCTTTGATCCAACTACCTTTTTGGTCACTACTCTAATCAAAAGACTTCAGAATAAGATTATTTTTTCCCTTTCCAGATAGCATTATTATTTGTTAGAAATAAAAATTAATTATGTTATGAAAGACACAGTAATTTATTTCAAAATATATTTAATAGCCAAAATCTCTGCAAAAAATTAGAAAGAAAGCCTTTCATTGTGGTGAGAAGTTCTATTTGAAATCTCCATGGAATTGTATAATGGAAACTAGCAAAATTGAAAATTTGCAGCAGTTATTTTGTTATAATGAATAATATGTTATTAACAACAACCACAATAATAATAATAATAATAATAATATCAACCAGATGTAGTACTTGCAAAGCCAGAACATGGCTAAGATATTTGTATTGATTTTTCCCTCTTAATTAATGATTAAATACAGTATGCATGATTGGTTGATTCAGTGCTCTGTCTAATATTAAATTTCTAATCTGGGTGAATAGCATTTCTAGTTACTCAGAACAATACTGTACATTACTTATTTAGAACAAGACCAATAAACTCCTAAACAGGACTTAGGTAAACTTTAGGTAGATCTATAATTACAATTCAAACACCCCCACTTAGAAGCCACCTAACCCATAAAGTGCCTTAACTCACTAGGCACTTCCCTGTTTGACCTGAAAGTTCTGTAGCAACCTTCACTTTTCCTTTTTTACATACCCAGAAATTTGAAAATCTGAGCAGTTCATACTTCAGCTCTCACTTAAGCTCTACTGGGATCCAGAAATCAGGATTAGCATTGCCTGTCTCCTGACAGGCACAGTCCAGATGGCATTTGCAGAGCATGTTTAATGCATGCTGGCAGGATAAGATACCTCCTGAAATGCAGTTGGAGCTTCTATATTTTTAAATGATAGAGGAGGTGCCACCAACGATTTATAATTCCATCCTCACATGGACAGATCTAGAATTTTGAAAATGGGGGTGCTTACGTTGAGGTGCATCATTACATATAAAACAACACATGTTTTTCTTTAGTCAAATATAAGCTAGAAGCTTTTTTGGTTTGCAGGGATTCTGGTTTTCTCTGATAAAAAAAATTCAAAATTTTCTGATTTAAAAAAAATCCCCAATTCCACATTTGTCCTGTGATTAAAATGAAATGCCACTATATATACAATCCAAAATTTTCTCATTAACAAAAATCCCCAAATCTACATTTGTCCATGATTAAAATGAAATATATAGTGGCATTTCATTTTAATCATGGAAAAAATTGGATTTGGGGAGGTTTTTTTAAATCAGAAAATTTTGGATTTTTTTATCAGAGAAAACCAGGGTCCCTGTTAATATGCTAGTAGAGCTATGGCTATACTATTCTATTGAAGATTGAGGAAAATCAAATATAACTTCATTGGAATGTGTTAAAAATAATCTGCAGAGCTGTGGAAAAGGAACTTCATTACCAGGAACAGCTAACAAACAGCAGATTTACAGAAGAAAGAATACGTTGATCAGTGGAACATCAAGATGACTAAAAGAAGACAGGGTTGTTAACCCTTGAGGAATGAAGAGTATAGAAGGGATCAGGTAGATTATGATAAACCATGAAGTCAAGTGACTCCCTCAGCACTGCCTGAGTACAAATGCCACTGCCACTGCCAGTCAGTTGATTTTAAACTTTGGGTGGAGCAGTCCTCCCCTGATCATAATGATTTGAGCACTCTCCCCTAGAAGCTGGAGACCAAGATTCAGTATGCAGCTCATCTCATTCAGGTGAGATGAGTCAAGGTCATGTCTCCCACCTCCTACAAGAGCATCCTAACCAAATATGATGTTATGTTCAGCTGTTGAAGGTCAGCCTTTGTGCTGAAAGATTGTAGATACAGGAGGCCTAAAAGAGAGTACAGAAAGGAGGGTGATTGTTTCTCACTGTTCTTCAGATTATTTTGAAGATTTATCCATTACTCTAGAAACATTCATAGGAGTAGGGAGTCCTCTGTTCTCCCCAGGTGATTGTCCTAACCACTGAGCAACCGTGTATATTCCCTTTTGTGCAATCTCTGTCTCACTCTGTCCAGGAGTGGAGAATATCACTGCCTCTCTACCTAGCAACTGTTGGTTGGGGCAGTCTCCTGGGAGGTGAGATGCAGTTCTGAACACTCATAGTGAAGAAAGGAATGACCCCCTGGTCTCCTACTTTTTGGGATAGTATTTTAACCACTATTATACAAAATGCTGGTGGTATTGTCAGCACCACTGTTTTTTCCATCCCTGTTTTAAGAGAAAACAGGTACCCCTTTTCAGTTATTTTGGAGAACATTTTTCAGGCACCAAGCCTTAGGTAAGGACTCTGGGCTTCCCATTCGAAACAGGTGTAGCCATGCCCTGTTTCAGGTGCCTAAACTCTAGAAGGAAGTGAGATTGTATTCACATGCATGGTTTAGCATCTACTGTTGGCTACACCCAGATCTCTCCCAATTTAGGGTGTGGGCTTTTTGGATTTTCCCTTTCAGTGGCTTAACTCATTCTATGCTCTATTTCAGGAGCCTATGTGTATAGCTTTAGATATTGGATTCTGTTCTGGGGGCCAGATTCTTAAAAAATAGGTGTTACAGCACCCAGCTTGTAGGCACCTAATCCTTTATTGGATCTAGACTTCAGTACATTCCTGATAAATATCACAGAGGGTTATGGAAAAGGAAACATGAAAAGTCATGGTGAAACTGGCAGTTGCAAAGAATAAATAAATATAATATAATGATAGACAAGTTTCCTTGGGTAAATATGATATCTTCTATTAGACCAACTCGAATAGTTGGAAAAATTCTTCTTTGCAAGCGTTTGGGTATAAACACCTTTTGTCAGGCTGAGGAAGCATCTGCAGTTGGTCTGTGCTCTTCCTGGATGGAATGAATAGTAAAGAACCCATCAGTCCATCCAGAAAGGGCACAGACCAACTGCAGATGCTTCCTCAGCCTGATGAAGGGTTTTTTATATCTGAAAGCTTGCAAGGAAGAATTTTTCAACTATTTGAGTTGGTTTAATAAAAGATACTGGATTTACCCAAAGATCCTTGTCTGCCTATGTCCTTAGGCAAACATGGCTAGAAGTTATACCCCCATAATACAATGAAGCTGTTTTGAAATATAAAGCATGTATCATTGGCTGAATAAATATAATAAAGTAATATTTGTAATACATGACATAAATAAAATGATTAATAGAGGCTTTAAAAATAGAAGTTAAACTTGCCCTCAGATATTTTAAATAGGTGTACATCAACTATCATAATGGTGCAATGTCAGTTGTCATAATTTATGGATGTGATGCATCACATTTATACTGCTTCTTTCAATGAACACCAGTTTGTGGATCAAGTATGATTTTTATAGACAGTGTTTAACAAAGATCCAGACTTTTCTTAGCTCAGCTATGTACATAAGAAATATGTACACTTGATCCCACACCTCAAAGACGGCAGCTCACTCAGAGATCAACTGAACCATCCTGTTGAAATGCAAGTAAAGACAATTCTTTTCTGTTTATCAGAACTCTTTAGGCCAGAATGTAGCTTTTAGTCACAATCCATAGATACCTCTATCATATTTATAGCAAAGGGAAGAGAACAATCTGCAATGCCATCTCCAAGAGGTGTGGCATAAACCCACCTATGTGATCAATCAACTCTGTTGATTCGTTCAGGGAAGTAACTAAGAAGTCCATCTTCCCACCTACACTAAAAGTGAGGGTAATCTATATTAATCTTTACACCCCAGTGTCAACAATACATAGATTTCTTCATCAGGACCTAGAGATATTGGGATTGTCTGTTATCATTCTTAATATTTACTGATAATCTTCTGAATATATCAAAAGGTATGAAATATCATCACTTAAAACAAATTGCATGGTACATATTATACACAGCCATGTAAGACAATAAAATGTGAATGTGTTCAGACGGGTTTATTAAACTTTAATTATTTGCTAAAACAGTTCTTCATCAATGTACAGGTATCCATTTGTGAGGTGTTGAGGCCATGATGATCACAAACAAAGCAAGTCAAAAAATCAAATGCATTGTTGTTGTTTATTCAGATGAGTGAAGCAGAGGTTAATGGGCAATTTGAATCGGTGTGTGAATCAGTGTTTAGTGAAGTTGAAGCTCAGGCAATGGATGCCCTTGACCTCCCAGGATGCTTCCGAACAAGAAGCCACAGTTACCTGCGTGCCATTCAGGCAGGTTACTCCCAAGATGATGAATGTATCCCTGCAATGGCATCTTCCAACATCACCTCAACTATCAGGTCAACCACAGGTAAGAAAATCTATGCTAGCCTTTATGCTGTTTCACATGTAAACATATGCATGTTTGATTTTGAAAACAGTGCATGAAACAGAAACCCTCTTGTCCCTATGCCATCAGCATGATTGATGCTCTATAGTACATTGAGAATTGGGCCTTTGATATTGTACTATAGTGCCTATATGTCCAACTATTCAGCTGCAAATACTTAATATTTATTCTAGAAACCTAATATAATATATAACATCTGTATTCTGGAAGTATTACATACTGTGCCTGAATTTCAACCTGAACTAAACTTTTTTCACATGCACAAGTACAAGTTTACAAGTTACAAGTGCAAATGAGTGGTATTATTTAGACCAGACCAGACCAGAACTTGTAGCTTATATGCTTCATGCAGCCTATGCGTGGTTAACATATGACTTGTGAGCCCTAGTGACTGTCTTACCTGCACAATGGGGGCACAGGGGCTGTCTCTCACTGGTACATTCCACACAGTGTGAAATAGGGGCCATATGTCACTCTTGAAGCCTACGTAGCGGAGACAGATCCTGCAGGTTGGCCCAACAGTGTGCAACAGGTGCAGTGTGAGGCCAAGGGGGCCCTAACTCACGTTGCTTTAGAAATCTAAATGGCTGACCTCCACATCCAAGATATGGTACATCCAAAATAATCATCTGAACTCGTGTTCATAGGCACTTTTAAAATGCCTAAACAAAAGGAGGTGTCAGGATTTTAAAATGCCTCAAATTCTTCAGGGTGGAATATAGAGAACTTACCTATAGTATATTTTTCTGAAGTTAAGTATGAGAGATTATGATAAAATGCTGCAGCATTCATTCTATGACACAGTCCGCACACCTTTGCCATATTCCTCCTCAATAGTCATTATCATACCCCTCATTTTTATGCCTTCTAAACAATTTTAGAGTTTTTTTTCTTTCAAGTTGCTTAACTAAGAGGTTAATTTATTGGGCTTGCAGCTGTCATTGATAGGGAGAAGATTTTACAGATAACAGATGGAAAACAAGTGCATGCATTACAAAAATAATTATTTGTCAATATTTATTTTTATATTTTCAAATCAATGATCTTATACTTAGGTATGATATTGTCTTACATCGGTATTTCTATGTTAAAATGCAGTGCATATTTTCATGCTATGCATCCCCAGGAAGTAAATATATATTCTCACAACACCTTAACGTACAAAAATGCCTGCTTAAATTGTTTATTTGACATATCCACAGTACAGCAAAACAGTGGGAGCTTTTGAAAGGAAAGCAGCTGTCATTGTTCAGTAATATTGGCATGCAATTCTCTCAATAGCATTAGTGGGTTATTTTACATTCAGAGTGGTATTTTATACTGAACAGCTAAAAGCTGTTCTTCATAAAGCTGTTTAAACTATATAAGTTCTAGTTCTAGTTAAAAGTAGATATGCTGTGCCCCCACACCACATGTATAGGTATTTGTATTACATGTCTGAAAGCTTAAATAGCCATACTATCAAGGGACAAATGTATTAATAAAGTAAAACTTTTGAGAGCTACCAAAGAGACTACACTTTTCCCAGCTGTAGTATAACTCTTGATGACTAATATGCAATAATCTTTCCATGAACTGAGGCCAAAATAATTAACCTTGTGTATCTAAATATGAGTTTTGGTATTTGACTTTAGGCACCAAAGTTAGAACTCTTCTAGAACACTCAATTTAGTACTCAGCTTTATTGACTTGTATGCCTAAGTAACTGTGACTTTATATTTTATATTAAACATACTCTTCGCATCTAAAAAGATATAACTTTTATTTCCCCTAGGGTCATAAAGCTGAATAGGATAGCATGTTTGGCAAAATAATCAGATTAGACAGTAAATATGTCTGCATCCCACTGTTTCTTTCCTTATTAAAAATGTTATGCATTGATTAGAAATCTGCTGGTTAAGTGATATGGTTTTGAAAGCTCTAACCTTCATTTCACACATGGTTTCTTTCTCATCTCAGGAATGATTTATCAGATAGATTTTCTGGCCTAAATATGTAATCTTTATGCTTTGTTGGTGTTAGGGAATATTGACATTGGAGGAGGGGATAAAAGGACGAAAGGAAAAAAGATAGCAATTACACACAGGGTCACAAGCGAAACGCCGGTTCCAAAAACCATGGGTTTATAATCTAGATCTGTATTCAAGCTGTTTTTCCAGTGCCATTGAATGAATTTGTTTTTGTCTTCTGTGATGTTACCAGAGTAAGAAAAATATCCAAATAAGAAACATTTATCTGAGCCCCTCTACATACGCAGGTAAAGGTGCAATGGGATCTAATGCATGATCCACACAATCATATCTCCTGCCATGCCATATGCTTCATGTACCACCAAAGCTGGGAGATCGTGGCAGCTGTGATCTTGCTGTCCTAGATGGTCCATGCACCCCCAGGGCTAGGAGATTACATCCATGCTTCACAGGTCCCAGCACCAGGAGGGCACACTGTGGGGACCCAACATCCACATTTACAGAACGCGGTTCCAGGGACTTCAGGGTGCTGCCAGGACCCAGAGTCAGCAGCTGCTGCAGCTGAGTCCCCTGAATGATGGGGCTCTCAACTCTGGCTGGGCACGATGTACCCATGCAGCTGCGAGCCCCATCAGTTGACAAGGCTCCCAGCCATAGAAGAGACCCTGCTATGTGTGCAAATTAAAGTTCAGTAGCAACCAGGTATAAAGTTAGTACACATTTTTGAGGTCGAACTTTATAGCTGGTTGGAGGTTTTAATAGTGTTATTGGTATTTTACAGGTGTAGCTGGTCTCAAGGTATTTGTACAGTTAACCAGTTAATTGGACGATACCTGTAAAATGTAGAGGGGGTCGCAAATGTCCAAGGAAAAGAAACAATGATGTGATTCAAAATTAATTGAAATTTTCAGTTGTGAAATATGTCACTAGCTTAAAACCATAGGGTAATTGTTCCACAATTCTGTCTACAACATTTGGTATGTTAGGGGCAGATACTTCATATTTCAAGTGTTACTAAACTTCAAATAACCCCTTCATCTTTCACTGCTCTAAAAATTGTAAAATAGATTTTGGGTAAAATTATCGTTTTGGGTAAAATTATCATTCAAGGAAAGACCCCAAAGCTCAATATTTCACTTTAGCCTTCAGTGTCAATTAAGCCTTTGAATCTTGGGAATCAGTTCAGCCCTTCAAATCTTGTTTTATTAAATTGGAAATTTTTTTTTGCTGCTGATGTAACAAGTTCTTTTTGGCAAAGCCAACATTGTTTCCTAGCAAATTAAAAGGCATATCATTTTTATTATAGTAGCTGAAATGTTAATGATAGAAATCATGGCTGCCTCTTATTGATGATGTAAAGAAATGAAATTGTAGATTGACTGGAATATTTAATAATAAAATGGAAAATGTAAATCTGAAGCAGAGAAAGATTAATATTTTATCTATAAAATTAATCAATTATATTATAAAAATTTGAAATATACAGTATTTTATTATGAAATATCTTTTGTGAGAATATGCCTAGAATCTTGGGGCCAGGTTCTATTCCACTAGCATAAGTGAATTTAGGGACTACATAGTGATTTTTTTTCTACCCTACTCAAGTATCTGGAAAAGTATTACAATAAAAGGCAGATGAGTCCTCCTTGCTGCTTTTTTGTAACTGTCTTAAGGGTAACAGGGTGCTTATTACAAAAGTAGATGTTTTAATGGATTTCCAGGGATTCAAGCAGAGTGGAATATAATCACTTTTTGGCATCTGAGTCTACTTGAACATCCAAGAAGTAGAATAGAATTTGGCCCTGGGCTTCATTTAGAACACCAGGAGGGCTACAGCCTTGTTGAATAAGTATATGAGACCCACTAACTAGCCTGCTAGCAGGATTGCTTGATACAGTTTGGAAAAGGGGTGCTATAGTCAAAATTTCCAGGCTAAGTACAGACAGTCAAAAAGCCCAAGGGTGAATCAATTCAGTTTTTGCAGGTTAGTCTAAACTGAAGAGATTAAACTGAGAAACAAGTGAACATACATTTAATTTTGATTCGGGCCAGAAGCTGGGGGGTGCTAGAGCATACCTATCTGGCACATAGTCAGCATGTGCTGTGTATTTGCTTCCTGTTCCTGCTACCCCCAAGGGCTAGGGACAAACATTCAAAAAAAGCCTGCCTAAGATGAATCAGTTTGTAAGCGCACAGACATCCCCTCTGGACTGAGAAAATGCAGGCACATGCTTGCAGTGGCTCAGGCTAGAAGCCGGGGGGTCAGGCTAGCAGCCCTCCCCTCTCTTCCACGGTGCTGAGCTGAGGGGGGCATGGCCAGGCCCCTGCAGAATGCTCTGATTAAAGAAGGGTTTCCTCCCCCTTGATAATAGAGCATTTATCAGCTGTGTTATCAGCATTCAGCACCCCATCAGAAAATAAAGCCTCTCTCATTAGTTCTAGCTCTTCTTAAAAACTTTTTCCAAGGAAGCAAAGGAGGGATATTACCAGCTACCTGTTGATTAGCTCCAAAAAGCCCTAAGCGGATTTCATACTGTCCTGTCACCTGTTGGATACTGTCGGATACTGTCCTGTCTGCGTTTGTCCTGTCTGCCTTACACAGACACCACTCAGCATGCTGGCTATGGTCTGTGCTGTGGGAGGGACAGAAGGAGTGGGAATCCCTGCTTGAGCAGCAAGCGCGGGATGGGGCAGGGGAAGACAGGTAGACACTGCTGTGCCCGCAAGTCTCTGCTGGAGCTCCAGTGAGGGAGCGGATGGGAGGGGCCAGCCCAGCTCTCTAGAGTAGAGAACCCCACCCAGCCCAAAGAGCATGCTGGGATGCCAGGAGACTCTGATTTAACTTAAACCAGTAAGGGGTCTGGGACAGACATTGCATAAACTGGTTTGACTCAAATCAGTTAAGTCTGATACTTCATTCAACCAGATTTATCTTAAACCAGTTTTAGCCATTTCAAAACTGGTTTATATGCACTGAGCTTCTTTTCTGTT